CCCCCAGGAGAGCCTATTAAAAGTGCATTTTGAACCTCTGTTGTCACACAGGAAAGGATAGTTTGAAGAGATCGACCGAGATGACCCAGTCTCTGCCTGTGACGTGACTAATGGGGCCCTGAAGGTGCAGAAAGCCCTGGGTCAGACGTCCCCCCCGGGACCAACTATATCATTTGGAGGGCCCATTGCAAAATGAAAACGGACCTCTTGTTTCAGACAGTCACTAAGAATTTCAAGATGCCAAGTGGAACCCTGTCCTTTTCTCCAGCCGTGGGGGCGGGGGTGTTCTTACCACATGAACCTGCCTGTCAGCTCTGCTTCGTTTTAATGAAAGGGTATTTCTTCGCCAAAACAGGGGACTCCAACAGCATTCTGTGAGACTCTTCCAAAAGATGGGTGCTGATGTTTCTCTCCTTTGACAGCTAAGTGTGGAGAATCGCTTTCCTCCTTGTCCTCCACCCGACCCAAAAGGCATGTTCAAGTGCAGTGGTGAAATTTTTGGCATTTAAGAGGTAAAAGAAAGCATTAGCTGGGAGCAAAGTACATGAGGAGGTGTGATTTACATAACAGCTACAAAACAAGAGGTGCTAATAGCTCAGTGGGTCTGAAATAGACAAAGAGACCAAAATTCCTAAGTGCAAAGGAGTCGGGGAAACCTTGCGGCAATTGGGAAACCATTCTTCAAAAGAATGGACACCCCCCGAATATCCCAACATCTTCGCGATTGATTCACATGCCTGCTTGAGTGTGTTGCATTATTTAGCTTTAAAACATTAATCCAGGTTTCAGTTGCCGCCAAAGCGGCAGGTGAATTAACCTTTACTTAATCACTTGCTAGGCTGACCGCCACAGCAGTGACTAACTCTTCGCTTGTGTGAGGCCTAGTGTGGCTCAGTGTTGGGTTTGCAAGGCAGACAGTCAGGCTGATGATCTGAGCATTATCCAGTTGAGTGCATACTGTGGGAATCATTCTGTGATTCAGAAAAAAAAAGCACACGCAACTCCAAAATCATATATCTGTACCGGTCTGACTCACACTGCAGACACATTTATTTAGGGATTATCAATTTTACAGCATACAAAGGGTCTTTTGCTATTTTTGTTGTTCAGACTTGCCTAAAGCATGGCATCATGCAGTTTAACACCACGGCGGATTTTGAAGGTGTTTTATATACTCCGAGAGTAATACCTTATAAGGGAAAATGCCGGCAAGGGCCAGTCGGCCTGGAAATAACCCCCAGCCCCAGCCCTGCCAGGAAATAGCCGAATGACCGCAGGTAAGGGATTGATCCTCCTTGGGCCTCAGTTTCCTTATAAAAACAGGAGCTGATCTCACTTATCAGATCTCTGAAGTTTTTTCCAGTTTTAAAATTCAGTGTTGGGGCGCCTGGGTGGCGCAGTCAGTTGAGCGTCCGACTTCAGCCAGGTCTATCCGCATTGGTCCGTGGGTTAAGCCCTGTCGGCTCTGGGCTGATGGCTCAGAGCCTGGAGCCTGTTTCCGATTCTGTGTCTCCCTCTCTCTCTGTGCCCCTCCCCTGTTCACGCTCTGTCTCTCTCTGTCCCAAAAATAAATAAACGTTGAAAAAAAAATTTTTTTAATAAAAAATAAAAAAAATAAAAATAAAATTCAGTGTTTTCATTCCACCACCGAAGGCAAGCGAATTATGGTGAAGGAAACCGTAGGCTCCTATTGATGGCATTGGTCTTGACTTTATTCCTTGTTGTGAACCAAAGTCCTGCTCAGAGTGTAGAGCAAAGCGGCCATCAGAAGGCGCTGGAAGGGATGGTCGGAGGATCTGCTGCTGGTTTATCACACACTTGGGCTTGGACTTGTGACTGTGTGGCCGTGCATAAGAAACACTAACTCATTTCATCCCAAGGCAGCCTTTGGAGAAATGTCAGCATCGCTATTATGCAAACTTGACTGAGAAGGAAACCGAGGCTCGGAGAGGTAAAGTAATAACTTTCTGAGGGCCACAGTGGATGCCTAGTGAAAAAGACTGAACTGGGTTTTGACCCAGGGAGTCTTACCCTACAAGTTACCCTTCGGAGGTTCAGATCACAGGCTGTATCTAGTTTTTAATGCCTTTGTACCCACGGGGAACCCAACCAATAAATGAATGTTCTAGACACTCTTCCCCAAGAGTATAGATACCGCCTGCTCTTACATAGCTTGGGACCACCCTGTCAGGAGGCTGGGAGGCTGCTCCACGACCCCAAGTCGCCCCAGCTTCCTGGTAACTGATGCCAGCCTGCAAATGGGCAACAACAGAGAGCCGCTTGGATCGCGAATGTGGTGTCTGAGGACATGGAGGTGGGGAGAGGTGCGGGTTATAAACCTTCACTTCGTCCTTTCCTTGACCCCAACATACATCCGTGGGGTCCCTGCTGCTGCCAGACCCCACCCACTCCATGACTGCAAGGTAAATAAATAGTCAACAGAGGAAATTCAAGTGCCAGAATACGCCTGAGTTCCGCGATGCCCGTCTGTAAGTGCGTTTCCCCTCCCCCATCCTGTCCCTGCCCCCAGGATCTCCAAAGTTTCCTGTTTCTGTGTGATTTTTACAATGCTGTGGACTCATTTTTATGTCTTTAAGGGCAGGGACTAGGCTTCACTGGTCTCTGTCTTCTCAGCAGCTGACACTGTGTTTGCTGACTGGGTAAATGAGACACTTCCGACCAAATGACGTCTTTTGTGATTACAACTAGAAACCACACGTACTGTATGTTGACTATTGATTTGGATTTCAAGGTAAATACAGACATGTTTCTAAGGAAACATGTTTGGTTGTTTTTCAGGGTTTTTTGGTTTTTTTTTTTTTTTTTTACAGAATGACTTGGGAAGCTAATCACTTTTAATAATTATGTCTGGATTCTAAAAAACTCCTGACTGCATTTCAGTCTCTAGACATTTGGTATTTAAACACACATGTTCTCCTGTAATATTCCTTTCCTCTTCTCTTCTATGAGTGTCCCTCTTTCTGGAGAGCAAAGAGTCAAGATAGCTTTTAAACTCAGTTTGACATAGTGCATCTGATCATTTCACCCCGCGTGCCTTCTGACTTTTAATTTCCTTCTAACACGTTCGACTTTTGATCTTGAAGCACAAGGGCTGTCCTTTTATTAGGTTTAATTTACTGTAAAGCTCAGTGTTCCCTGTGAATCAAGCCATAATAGTGAATAATCACAGGCTTCATTCAGTCAGCCAGGTTTTCGTTCTGCTGAGTAACTAGGAAACCGACTAGTAACAGGAAGGTTAAAAAATGTTAGGAACCCTGCTATCGCCCCAGAGCTAGGATCAAGCCATTTTATTCTTTGCACATGACTGTCCAAGCGGACAGGGGGATCAGCCATGGCACAGGACCCAGGGCAAGGGGGCTGTTTGGATGGGCCCAGGGCTCCCTGGAAGGGAAAGCAGGGGGTGACAGGGGCTTGATTAGAGTCCAGATTTGGGGCTGGCATGTGACCTCACTTTCTCTCCCCCAGCTTCCCACACCTCTTTCAGCTCTGCCATTTGTGCCTCTGGCCAGATTATTTTCAATAGGGTTTCACACAGTATATTTGAGAGGGTAGGGATAATTTCCTTCTCCCCCCCCCCCATATATGACATTTTTTTCAAAGGGTTTTTCATAAAATGAAAAGAGAAGAGCTTGGAAAAAGACACTTAATCGCTATATCATTTTGAGATTCTCTCTACCATGTGCTCAAGGCCCTGATAAGTTCTTTACCCGTTTGGTTCTGTGTAGACTGCTCATCACAGCCTGACGACGTAGGTTCTATAATCACCTTTTCTTTGGTAGAGGCGAGAACCTCCTTCACAAGTCAGAGCAGAAGAAAATAGTTGTCAGGAACGGATTATCTCCCATGCCCCTCTTCTGACATCTTTCTGCTCAGATAGGTTGTCCAACAGCCCAGCATGACCAAAGGTCCCCTCCAGGTCCCCAGCCTGGATCCGCCCCTGCAGGAGGGAAGATGGCTTCCCAAAGCATCAGTGGACATCAATGACTCGGGGAGCTTCTGAGCTCGGACCGAACACCCGTGGTCACGGGAGCCCCACTTTGGGCGACTGAACTTAATGGAACAGCTGTAGGCATCACACTTCTCAGGCTCCATCAAGGGCTGGATGAGTAGCCTGGGGGAAAAGTCCCTCTATTCTCTGAAACTGCAGCACCCATGAGTCAGTATTTTCTGCTACAGTTAAAAAAAAAAAAAAAAAA